TGTCCCGACCTGCTCTTCGCTGTCGCAGCCTGGTTCTCTGCCGGGGGGTCTGGAAAGGTCTTGTGCCAAGGGATGCAGCGCTCGCCCGAGGACGGCTCTGCCCACGCAGAGACGGGAGCTCCCGCACTTTACTGGACTCCCTCATCGCGGCAACTCGCCACGAATGTACAAAAGGGGCCAGTGGGAAGGCCTTTCCCAGCCAGAGCACTCTCGTGGCAATAAAATACTAATAAATTAGCAATAAATAGAGGTCGTATGAATAAATCCCAGTCACAGTGCAGCACTAGCAGGCACACGGCTGGGACCCACATGGCCGTGGGGCCGGCCCTGACCGGACAGGGGCACGGCTCAGGCCCTGAGATGGGCAATCCTCACCACCATCAGAGGATGCCACGAAACTGAGGCAAGGGCATGATGGGGGAAGGGCTGAAAGGTCCAGGCCGTCACATGTGGCTTCCCCGTGCCAGCCCCGGCCTCCGACTGCTCAGTCCAGCCAGCGCGACACACACAAGGACCAGGTCAGAGCTGGCTCCCAGGCGCACGGGACCAGCCCGTGGAGCAGGGCCGCGCGCCATGAGACGATGACAGCGAGCAGGCGTCTGCGGGCAGGGGCTGCCTCTCGGCTCTGCCATGGGGGTCACAAAAGGGTCCCTGCAGCTCATCCTGGGGCGGGAGGGAAGGTCCCGCCATGTGCCGGTGCCCGGGTCTGCCCCCGCGTGGCTGGCATCAGGCACAGTGGCACTTGGTGACGACCATGTCCTCGAAGACGGTGGAGGTGAGGCCGCCCGTGCTGTCGTAGTGCATGAGCACCATGGGGTCGTAGGCGGCGGGCACGCAGCAGGGCGCTGGCGTGCCCTTGGCTAGCGCGTGCATGCGGGCCTTGACCTGGGCGTGCATGCTGGCTGGCTTGTAGTTGTGGGGGCAGGAGCCCTGGCAGAAGCGCATGCTGTAGCTGTGGGGGGCCACGACCCAGTCGGCCCAGCCGATGTCCTGGAACGACACCTTGAGGGACTGGAGGCAGCACTTCCCGTCGCTCTTCCTGCACTCCTCGTCCAGCGCCCGGCGCCTCCGTGCCCGCAGCCCCGTGCCCGCCTGCGTCACCACCTCCAGGGCCAGCGTCTCCTGCCCCTGGGGACTACGGGCAGTGGCCAGAGCGGCAGAGACGTCCGTGGCAAAGGCCAGCTCCAGCTGGAGCGCCGGCTCAGCGCTCGCCACCCACTGCTGGACGGCAGCCGTGAGGTCCAGGCTCAGGTGGGCCGTGGGGAGCAGCCGAGCACGCAGGGCCCTGGGGCCCCTGTTCGTGAGCCTGGAGAGCTGCACCCGTGGGGGCCACCAGGTGCCGGGCACCCCCGGGCGCTGCTTGAAGAGTCTGAGCCGGGCACGCAGCACGCGGAGCCCGGGCGGTAAGGCCTCGGGCCGGGGCAGCGCCAGGTCGTAGCGGTAGCTGCTGCTGGGCCGGTCCCTGGCCTCTGTGCGGCGCGTGACTGTGGAGAGAGCAGGTAGAGGAGGGTCAGTCCCGCCGTGTGCTGCTACTGCTTCCCTGATCACCCCCACGGGCACCCTGAGCACCCGCCCCGGGCTCCCGGACAAACAGCTAAGGCACGCGCGCATCCTTCCCTGGCACTGTGGCCCACACGTGCCCCCTGCACGGGACCCTACGCATCGCACACGTGTGCAAACACACATGTAAAAGCCCCATAGGCTGCACAGGCAGTGGGATGGGACCCCGGCAGGACTGGCACGGCGCGGCAGCGACCTGAGCTCACAGCGGGCAAAGCAAGTCCTGCCTGTCTCTGCAGGATGGCGCGGAGCGGGGTGGCCCCTCGCTGCTGCTCCAGAGGCAGGAGACGGCTTCACGGCGCTTTCCCAGCCTACCCCCGGGCCCTGCTGCCAGGCTTCTCCACGGCCATGAGAGCCAGGCCCAGGCGTCCGGTGGAGGTGAGCCCATCGGAGCAGCCCGAAGCAGGAGCTGGGCTTGGAAGAGCAGACACGACAAAGCATGCTGCTCCCTGCCGTGGCCCACCGCATCCCGAGGACCTGGCAAGAGCCCGCCAGGGCCTGGCTGCCAGGGCACGGGCAGCGCTTCCAGGGGCTCTGCTATGCGGAGGGCTGCGATGCCAGGACGCAGCCCAGGCCCCTCTCTGCACCTGCCTGGGACCAGGGGCACTGCCCAGCGCGCCCAAGGACTCGGCTCTGGCAGCCGCTGCTCGGAGCGATGCCGTGAGCAGCCGCAGCCCCGAGCCGAGCCGAGCCGGCCGGGGTGGCTCCACTTACGGGTCGGGGCCAGGAGGTGAAGGGCATGGGCCGGGACGGGCGGGGGGCGCTCTGCCCTGCTCTGGTTGCCCCACAGCAGGGCCAGCCTCTCCTCGTAGAGCTGGCGCGCCCTGCGGATGCCGTCCTGGTCCAGCGCCTGCCGGATGGCGGGTGGCCCAGGCATGCCCAACCGGTCGAGGATGCCCTGTTTGAGGGTTTCCAGATGCAGCCGCGTCTCGTCCCAGCCCCGCGGCTGCACGTGGGGCGACAGCAGCAAGAGCAGCATGAGGCAGGTGGCGGCGGAGCCCGGGCCCAGCCGCGAGCGGCGCATGGCCGCAAGCCGAGTGTGCAGTCGCCTACACAGAGCTCGCGGCGCGGCGCGGTGCGGTGCGGCGGTGGCTGCCGGGCGAATGAATGAGGTTGACCAGACCTGGCTTTATAGGCTGAACCTTGCCCCACTGCCTCATCCCTCCGCCCATCCCACCCCCCCACGGCCTGCCTGACGTCACGGGGGAACGGCGTAAACACGCCCGGCCCGCTGCCCCTGCCCTGGGGAAGCTCAAGCGACGAAGAGCCCCCCTCCTGGCCCGCCGCGCCGCTGGGCTGGAATGCGCCGGGGAGCCCTGACAGCGCGCGGCCTGCTTGTTTGCAAGATGTTTTGCAGCTATGGAGACAAAGAATAGCTCGGATGATTCCCCCCAGCCAGCCCTGGCCCCTCTGGGGAGTCCTCCCTGCTCTCCCCCCAGGCCGCGGAGGTGCTGCTTGGGGTGTGCTGGGCTGCCCGAGGTGGGAAGGCAGGGCACGGGCGGGCAACCCCGCTCAGGGAAGGTGAGAGCCAGCCAGCGCTCTGCCGGGACCACGCAGCGCACCCCATGCCCGGATGCAGCCCTCGCCGTGCTCCAGGCGGCACTTTCACCTCCGACTGCTGCCCGGGGTCTCGGCGCTGCCCGGGCAGCTGGGAGCAGAGAACAAAGCACCAATGCCCCCGTGGGAGTGTCTAATGCCGGGGCTAAGCACGGCTCTCGGGAGCTCATTGCCACCGCTGCACCCTCTGCCAGCGCCAGCCTCCCCGCCTGCCCATGACGGGGCCAGAACCGGCCTCAGGACGTGCAGGTGCCTCCCTCCAAATGCCTGACCCCAAGGCTTTCCTGGTCCACCTGCTCGTGCACCACGGAGCAGCAGAGGAAGCGCCGCATGCTGAGCATGGGCGCACGAGGCCAGGACACTTGTCAGCCGCCCAGACCCCGCTCTCCAGATCGACGGGAGCTGCGGGCATGCGGGGAGCACAGCTGGCCCCAGTCCTTGCCTGGCCCCTGGGCCGACGAGGCTGCGGCACCCACCAAGGGGCTTCCCTGGCCCCCGCCGGGCTCTGTGCCGAGCTCCAGCATGTCCTGAACCGGTGCCAAGCGGCTGGTCTGCAGCTTGCCGTGCCGTGGGACGCAGGCGATTACCATAATCCCCTCAGCTATGCGCCTTGATCCGAGGGAGCTCCGGGCAGCGCCGGCTGGGGTTGCAGCTGGGCGTCTCCATGAGGTTGGCTGAGGAGAGCGGGCAGCGAGGCCCCGGAGCTCGCGCAGGCCCGAGAGCCGGGAGCCAGCGGGGCACAGAGCAGGTGGGCAGGGGCGAGGTGTCCCCCGGCGCTGGCTTCCCGGTCCCACGTCCCGCGCAGGATGTACCGGGCTGGCAGGGACGGGCTGAGCCTCGCCCCGCTCCCTGCTCGAGCCAGGCCCGTGGTGCTGTGCAGCTGGAGGGCGCTGGGCAATGCCGCGCGCCCAGGCTGAGCAGGCCCCAGCTGCGACGCAGCACCTGGAGAGCATCCTCAAGCCCAGGGTTTGCCGGGGCTTTACGCTGCAGGGCTTCGCTCCAGCCCCGAGCTCGGCGCGAGGACGGAGAGGCCCAAGCCCGCAGGCATGGAGCCCAGAGCCAGCGGAGCAGGGCAGCTCTCCCTGGGCAGAGCAGCAAGGAGCGGGGTCGTGCCCCCAGCACCCAGGGCCGAGGCAGCCCTGGCCCGCGGCGAACGCCTCTGCCATGGCTGGGGCGGGGCCCCCCGGCCGGGCGACGGGCCCCCGGCGAC